ATCCCATGCTTACCAGCTTGACAATTGGGACGTTCAGGTCGTGCATGAACCACCTACTGGCTGTAATTTTTTGTTACTCAGGGATACCCTAGGTATCACTGAACCAAGACTCTGTAATCTGTAGCTATCTGCTTCCCCTTAATACAAAAAAAAAAAAAAAAAAAAAAAAGAGCACTAATAATAGCCTCACCCAGATTTTTATCCTTATGCACATTGTTTCTCTTCTCTTCAATAAATTTCTGTTTTACTCTAAAAAATTTAATATTATAAGATTTCCAATAAGTTTCCTGATTTCTTAGATTTCATAAAGGATAAGATCCCTATGCTACATGGAAAACTGATTCGTGTTCACATTTATCAATTTTTCAAATTCTTGTCTAGTAGAAATCCTCTCAATATGGATAAAAAGCTATCCTCATTACTGAGCCTTCCCTCTTATTATCATCATCAAAGCAACCTCTATTAACACCCACTGGCACTGCTGCCACCACCACCATTAGTCACCACCAAATATTGTGATTTCTGTCACTACCCATTTAGGCTGTAGCAATAAGTTCTTTTTGTTTGCATAGATTTATACATAAGACAAATTTGAAGAGAAAAAAATGGTATCCGGTAAGAAAACAAACTTCAGTCATCAAAGTCATTGGCTGCAGATAAGAGAGAGACCAGAATCTAGTAAACTAATCATAGCCCAAGTCCAAAAGACCAAAACAATATTTCATTTTACAAAGTAAATTTAGCATCAATTTTTCAGATAAAAATTTCTCCACTCTTTTTCTCTTCCGTACAAAGCTCAAGATAAGTTGTTTCTTTCCGCAGTCCCACCAAGCATGAGACAAGCAGATAAGAGCTACAAAACATATTTTTTAAAAGAAAACTCATACATATGTTATGCAACTATAATTGAAAGCTAATTCTGTTCCAATTTCAAAAGCACCAAAAAACTTTCATTTCCAAGAAAAACAGATATTTGTTTCTTAAGAACTTCTACAGTATCGGTAATTCACAAAAAGGACAATTCAAATGCCAAACTTAATATGTATTTTACTATAAAAGAAATGTAAGAGAAGTAACTTTACTTATCGGACAGTTTAAGAACTCCTAATGACTGAAACAAACACAGTAATAGGTGGTAGATGAGATCATTAACAATGGACAGTGGTCAGTTACACACCTCAAGAATACATAACCAGTTGTTTCCTGTGAAGATTTTCTGCTCTGTGCAGTTATGAACCCTGCAGACTTGAAGTGGATATGACAGTGCTCCAAAACAGCAGTGCTATTGCCAAAGATGTTTAGTTCAAATTGTGAGCATATAAATTGGTCTTTATGTGATAGAGGGATTTAGCAGCAACAGTTACTGTTTATTGTTTTACAATTTGATAATATGATGATATTCAACTTATTATCATAAACAGTGAAGCCTTCTTTATTTGATTGTATTTTTGTATTATATGATACTATCACTTTGTCCTTTTCATGCTGGTACTAAAGATAAAGAAGCATGAAGATTTGCCCCCTCCCCATCTGATTATTGGTTTTGATTCTACTGGAATTATTGTTCTGCTTTTAATTGATTGTCATAAACAGTGAAACCTTCTTTTGATTGATTTTATTTTTGAGGAGGATGAGGTTTCAGTGCCGCAAAAAGTAAAAATTGGATGGTTTACTGAGGTAGCACTAGTCTGAGTGTCTAATTCTGACTATTTTTGAAATGTTGATAAACTTAACATTGTACATAGGTTTTGGATATAGGTTTATTAGAAGGGATTTGACTTCTTGTTATTAAATACTGAATCAATTGTGAGAAAATCAATTGGTTTATGCTTATCTCTGTTTTTCATGCGTAATTTTTTTTGTTTCTATTTAAAAAAAAAAAAACAGTTTCAACAACATTCATTTACTAAGCTATATGAGGGAGCCATGGTTGTAATTTTGTAAAGCAGAATTTACTTTCAACACTTATAAAGATGAGAGTGAACTAGAAGAAACGTAAGTTCTTTTTCTTTGATATGACAGATTCTTTGGAAGTATGCTATTGTTCCTATAAATATGTTACAGCTTTTAATTGGTAGGCCTCATAAGTCATGTTAGGCTTTTTATTTTTTTTACAATAGGTCATATCAGACTTATAAACTAAGTCTTTAATAGACTAATAGGTCAGTATAGACTCAACATATTTTACATAGACTTAGGCTATTGAGGGCAAAACCTGATCTAGTCTGACTCATTTACACTCCTACTTATCGGGTAACCATTTTGGTCATTAGGATAAGGTCATTAGTTGATCCAAATAGAACCAAAACATTTTGTCTTCCTGTTTTTAATAGTATTTGCTAGATATAACATTACGAATAAAGAGGATAACAATTGTAAAATGCTCACCCCATATTTCCTCATAAAATTATTTAGAATCCTTTATGATTTCAAAATGAAGTTATATAGTGGGAGAATTCATACTTGATTATTATGATAATAATTGGGTTGGATCACGGAACAATTGAGTCGGGTCTAATGCCCTGACAAGATCTTTGCTGGAATGGTGCTGCAAAATGGTGTTTTCATGGGACGCTTTGTAACTTTGCGAGATGCTTTTGCGGGATTATTTGCAAGATATACGGTTTGAGGCAAGATGTCTTGATTTACTCATATGACTATGGGATACCTGCAACACACTCCAACGTTCAAGTTTGAGATAACATTTTGGGTCGATACTATACGAATTCAACACGAACACGAATACACTCAATACGAACACAACACGAATTTAAAATCGGGTTAAAACTTTCGACACGAAAATGACCAGTACATTTTGCAGGTTGACACGAGACGAATAATTTGTCAATCCCAAATTATGTTACTAATTATGCGGATTGGCATGATACAAAAACCTATTTACAACACAAATAACTTGTAAGAAGATTAAAACTGGTCAATTTTGGATTCATGGGCGACACATGATATGACACGAATTTTTTCAGGTAAATTTTGTCAAAACGAACACAACACGAATTTAAAACTAGGTCGACCTAAATACAAATTTTTCCTGTTCTGTTCTTGTCGTGTCATGGGTTGTGTTGAAAATTGTCACCTTTAACTTAAGTCGGTATATGAGCTATGAGCTTTTGTAAGATACAATAGATGTGATACATGGATTTCAAGCCTCTCTTTGATTGTCCTATGAGCTATTAATGTTATGTGTATATGTACATGCGGATGTCATATATAAAGAGAAATGACTATACACCAGAAAAGAAAATCAAGGAATGGAAGATAAGTGATGCTAAAAGATTAAAAGTTCAAACTAATACTCAAGATTAAGAAGTGTGCAAACCACAGCTTCCATGCCCTTCCAATGCGGCTACCACATAATTAGCTTACAAGTAAGATGTTTCTCAATTTGCCGAAATGTGTATTGAAGATTCACTGTTGCTCTAGGTTGCGGTTTGAAATTTGTTAGGGTACAGTTTGCATTAATTGATTAGCTGCTCGTTCAAAACATGATTGGATTGTCAACATTAGTGACCAACTTACTTTGATTGTGCTAATTTTGAAATAAAATGTGTATGAAATATGAGAGTTAGCGAGGTTTTGTCGTTTATTCAGAGAAAAGAAAGAAAAGAGGGGGGAAGTTTGTTGCAAGAGAAACAAATTGAAACCAGTCTGGAATATGGCATATCTTATGGAATAATTGAAATTTTCTATAATTGTGTTACCAACTTTCCATATTGCAGATTCGCTAGGTGTGTGCGTTAGTAGTACCCTTATATTAAGCCTTTTTTTTTTGAGAAGAATTTTGATACTTCGGAGCATTATTTTTGATTCAGTGATCTCGATCAATCAAAGTCGGACAATAATTGATAAAAAAAAGTTATTTTTTTTATTCAAGTGAAGCGCTTTAATGGAAGAAGCACGTACGCGCTCAGAACACTAAAAAAATTTCCATTTTTTTTTGGGTATTACTGTGTGCCAAAGAAATATAGTATTTTTAAAGGGGAAGAATATTGTGACAATCAAGTTGTGCTACTACCAAGTGATTACCAATCAATCTCACCGTTAGATCGATTATGTTGATCCAACGGTTATATTTATTTCCATCTTTGTATGGTCATGATTTCTCAAATTTAATACTTTATATTTACTTTCACCTTTGTATGGTTATGATTTCCCATATTTAATGCTTTCACTTTAAATATGGGGAATCATAACCATACAAAGATGAAAATAAATATAACCGTTGGATCAACATAATCGATCTAATGGTGAGATTGATTGGTAGTCACTTGATAGTAATACAACTTGGTTGTCACAATATCCTTCCTTTTTTAAAAAGACTGAAAGTTTATCTTGAAACTAAATAGGGTTTGTATTGGAAACTTTCCAATAATAACGTAATATTGTGTTTTGTTAACGTAAACTATTTTATTTTCTTGATTTTTAATTATTTGATTACTGAACAAAGATTATTTTAAATTTGAATTTACTTGAAAACTACACATTTTTTTCAATAAAGATTTGATGTGATGATAAACAAATCATACATTTAAAATGAAAATAAAAATAAAAATTATAACGTATCCTTGTCATAATCATGCCAAATGGATAATCTTCCAATAAAATAGAGGATAATAAGTTTTTATGAATTTTCATTAATTTATTATACCCGACTCTTCGCATATATTTGAACACAAAAGAATATTCAACCAAGAAAAGGCACATTAAGCAAAGTAAGCAGAAACTTTTCCTGCCTTGCTGTTGAAGAAACCTCAGCAACGATAAATCAGCACAGCAAAGCAAAACCAAATCATTCCCCGAGACACGTGGCAAAAACATATTACATAACAAAAAACATATTACATAACTAACTTCAGTAACGTACACGTGTGTGCCCACAATACCTCATACTCCTCTGATTCTCTGCCGTACCTTAAAAATAATAAAACTGAAAAACCCCCAAAAGTCCAAAACAAACAAACAAAACAAAAAGAAGCAAATCCATTTTGTCTGAAAAGAAAAATCAAATTTTGCCAGTGACCCATTTTAATTAGACCCTTCAATTCATCAAATTCAGCTTCTGATTCAAATCCCCATTTTGAGCGGTGCCGTCTTATAATTAGGGTTCGGTCTCTGGTGGCGGTGCAACAATGCCGGAGATCGAACATGCGGCGATGGAAACCGCCCTGTTCGGGAAGTACGAGCTAGGTCGAGTCCTGGGCTGCGGCGCGTTCGCAAAAGTGTACTACGCGCGGAACGTGCACACGGGGCAGAGCGTGGCGGTGAAGATCATCAACAAGAAGAAGCTCGCTGGAACGGCACTCGCCGGCCACGTGAAGCGCGAGATAAGCATCATGAGCCGCCTCCACCACCCATACATCGTGCGCCTCCACGAGGTCCTCGCAACGAAGACGAAGATCTTCTTCGTCATGGACTTCGTTCGCGGTGGCGAGCTCTTCGAGAAAATCTCAAAGGGTCGCTTCTCCGAGGATCTCAGCCGTCGCTACTTCCACCAATTAGTCTCCGCCATCGGATACTGCCACTCCCGCGGCGTTTTCCACCGTGACCTCAAGCCGGAGAATCTCCTTCTCGACGAGAATGGTGATTTGAAGGTTTCGGATTTTGGGTTAAGTGCTGTTAGGGATCAGATCCGACCCGACGGGTTGCTCCATACCCTTTGCGGCACACCCGCTTACGTGGCACCGGAGATTCTTGCCAAGAAAGGTTATGATGGGGCCAAGGTTGATGTTTGGTCATGCGGCGTCGTTTTGTTTGTTCTCGCTGCCGGGTACCTTCCGTTTAATGACCCGAATTTGATGGGGATGTACAGAAAGATTTACAAAGGGGAATTCCGGTGTCCTCGGTGGATGTCGCCGGAGCTCCGTCGGTTCCTAAAGCGGTTACTTGATACCAACCCGGAAACCCGGATGACCGTTGATGGGATAACCCGGGACCCGTGGTTCAGGAAGGACTACAAGGCGATCAAGTTTCACGAGGAGGATTATGGGTCCGGGTTCGGGTCCGGGTCGAAGGGTGATGGGTTTGAGAGGGTGTTAGATTTGAACGCGTTTGATATCATATCGTTTTCGTCAGGTTTGAATCTTTCCGGGTTGTTTGGGGAGTCTGAAGGCGGAGAGAGGTTGGTGTTGCGGGATTCGCCGGAAATGATTTTGGAGACGGTGGAGGAGGTGGGTGTGGCGGAGGGGATGGCGGTGAGGTGGAAGAAGGAATGTGGGGTGGAGCTGGAAGGGCTGAATGGGAATTTCGGAATTGGGATTGAGGTTCACCGGTTAACGGCGGAGCTCGCGGTGGTTGAGGTTAGGAGTAGGGGCGGCGACGCCGTTGATGTGTGGGACAACAAGCTCAAGCCTCAGCTCCTTGGTGGTGCAACGACGTCGCATCATCTTGAACCTGAACCTGAACCTGAGCCGCAGGTTGCCGGTGACTAAATTCAAATGGGAAAAAAATCCCTCCCAATTTCTTTAATTAAAAAATGGGGTTAAATTCAAAAATTGAAACTCGAAAGTGAAAATTGTATAAAGAGGTAAAAAAGAAAGAAAGAAAAGAAAAGAAAAGATTGGAATGTTGATGTCAAAAATGAAGATTGGTGGAGCAGGGTGCTTGTCTGGCACACATGGATCGAACTGGAAAGTGAACATTGAATTGGAAGGTGGTGACTCCTAACAATGATTATGTATAATTTGATGCTTGTTTTTGTTTTGTGTTTTGTATATTATAAACTAGGGAAATATAAGAATTATGTAACAGAAATGATATTGTTTATTTTCGTAACAAGGATCTGGTTCTGTGATTTTTTTTTTTTTAAGCGTGGGATTCACACTTATTTTTGTGCGTAAAAAAATATTCTTATCATATGAGATCACAAAAAACGAATCCTACGAATTAATAATAGACTATGTTTTTACTCTCTCTTTTTTAGTGGAAAAGGATGGGGAAAGATGTGTGGATAATAGAAATGAGTTCACCTCTTGTTTTTTATGAAAAAAAATGCAGTATAATGTTGGTGGCTTAACTTTGCATTTTTACAGGGTTAAAGGGAGAGGACTAATTTTCCTCGTTAGCCCACGGAATTTTGTTTTGCATATCTCAGTGTACGCTTTTTCATTTTCATTTTAGGTTGTGAATAGGATGTGTAAAAAAAATTTATCAAGGAAATAAAAAATGAGAAGGTTGGAATTTGGAATTTCATTATTCCGCAATGAAATGCATTTATTAGTGATTCTTGTTATGGTGTATTTAGTAGCCAGTTTTCTGCTCCAGAGGTGACATGATATTGATGGCTTGGTCTAAATGATTATGAATTAGAATACTTACAAGTAAAGGATAATTAAGTGTTTGTGATGATAACATTTTGTAATAAAAATAGAAAATAAATGTTAAAAGAGATAGAATTTTTGACATATTAATGTCATCCTACTATTGTATTTCATTTAACAACCACCTTTTGTATTCTCGTAATGATGTTTTTCCATTTCACTGAGCAGGTGTTAATGTTCACGTGCAATGTCTCTTGTGGTTTTATCAGTCCAGGCTATCCTTGTATTATGGATTGTTCCTAGGTCTAAATGCGAAATTATTAGGTGGTGTTTGTTTCAGGTTTTTGTCAAAAAAATTTGGGGAAGTGATGCATGCATTCTAGTAACTCCATGTTTGGTTTACTGATTTTCATTTTTTACCCATCTTTCCTTGTTGTCCATCTATCTTGCATTGTGTGTGATTTGTTTGAAAATCACTCTTACAGATTGCTTCCTAGAAGGTGGTATTTTGTGTAAAAACTGGAGAAGTTGAAAAAGTGACAAAAGTGGTATAAATGGGTGACTGTATTACCCCTCACACTGGTCAACCTCTTGCTTACTACTACAGCTCGTGGCTAGCGTATATGTTCGTCTATATAAGGATCAGTCCGAGATATCGAAAACAGGTTGGTCACGACTCTCTTTGGATTGGCGAGATTCATTATGAACATTCATTTTACCTCACCTCTCTCCATTACTCTATTTTTTAGCTTCTTTGACTGATTTGTTCGTTGATAGAAAGTTCCACCTTGCCGCTGATTTTGGGGTTTAGCTCTATCAAGTAAGGTAAGGCCACCTCTGAAGAGAACCTGCTGGAACTTGGATTGCTGAGGCTGCGTGGATATTACCGTTTGGACAATTGTCAGTATAAAGGGCAATTTTTAAAAGGATAATTTCGTAATTTCAATTAGTTTCCCATCAATATTTTATATTCAGCAAACACACTCTTTAGGAATTTCACTTAATTTTCCTGGTAAAATTGTACTCAACCAAACAAGTTCTTTTATATTTTCCTACCAAACTCACTTTTCAACCATTTCCCTATCAATTACATTTTTCTAGTACTCAAAAAATTTCTCCTTAACCAAACACCCCCTTAAGGTGTTCCGGTAACATCATTGATTCAGTGGGGCAAATCAATCAAAATCGAAGAGAGAAAATGTGATATGTGTACAAAGGAGAAAGAAAAAAAAATTAAGTCATGTGTCATCTTTTTAATGGAAGGAGCATATGTTCCTGGAGTACTGAAAGTTCTCTCGTCTAAATGGTCACTAATGTCAACGTAAGCATAGAATGGGGCAGTCGATGTTCCCTGTATGGTACGATAATTCTGAATTGGATTAGTTTAGTTTATGGGGATTATATTTCTTTGCAGGCAAGAGGAGCTCCATTTCTCGCAAAGATAGATGAGGTGGGGTCTGCTAGCTTTTATAAAAGGGTAATACTTCTCTCATTTAACATGAGAGAAGTTTTTTTTCCTACACTAATAAGAAATGTGGAGCCCATAAATTAAAGAAAAATAAAAAAGGAAAAATATTGCAGGCACGTCTTTTTATGTCTCTGTGATATGAGATAGTTATCTCCTACAGTTGGAGAAAACAATTTTCCTTTATAAAAAGTAAACAAATAAAAATTTGTGGTACAGAAATTGAACTGTCTGTAGTATGAGAAGACACTTCTTTCAGTGAAAGGAGAAGTGTTTTTCCCTTAGCTTATAAGTAAAAGTGCACAGATCTAATCAATATAATTTTTTTATTATATCTTAAATATATTTGTTTTGGATTCATTAACCCGGTTAGGATCGTCAAAGAGAACGCTTAAAGGAAGAACCAGAACAAGCAAGATAAAAAAAAGAGAAAGAAGTTACAAGCGAGGAAATAAAGAAGAAAGAAAGAAGGCATAAGTGAAGAGTTATACTGAAAAGATAATGATGATATGACCATTGGCATTTCGAATTTTGAAAAGTTGTATGATTTCGCCTCGCGTCATATGAAAGGATCACGACTTATCAGGGAAAGACGCGTGGCATAACATGATAGTTAACATTTATGATGAAATGACCTTTGATAGGTCCGACTTCTAAGATAAAGACAAACCACAAGATTAGTATGTGAATACGCTGACACAGACATGGTGGGCACAGAGATGCGTATCAGACACGGCGTTACACGGCATAAATAGTAGCGTGTTTCTACCATCTGTTCCACACTATACGCGTAGTCACCTAATGCGCGTCTTCTTGCATTAGTCTGATAATACATTTGACTAAAGAACTAAACAAGATATTCAAAAAAAAAGAAAAAAAAAAAGAACTAAGCATGTGAAATATTTCAAAAAACGCATTGGTATAGTAAAAAAGCCCATGTACAAGGGCTTATCCTACACCTTTTTACCTATTTTGACAACTTAACAACAACAATGAAATAGGAATTAGTTTTATGGAGGAAGTCTAGCCTCAAACATACTGCTTAAGGGTTAAAATTATCTGTATATCCATTCAATAGGTAAAATGACTTAAATAAAAGGACAAGGTTCAGAAGTAATTGTCCACTAACATTATACTAATAACTATCCACCATAATTAGGTGTGATAGTTCGTGTCGATACGATACTACACGAATTCGACATGAACACAAATATGCTTAACATAAACACGATACAGATTTGAAATCAAGTTAAAATCTTTCACACAAACATGACTTGCTTGTTTTGCGGGTTGACATGATACAACACAACAGCCCAAACGAACACAACAATATGCCAGAGGAAATCACACCGGAGTATGAAAAGGAATATGCAAAACCGGAAGGAGAAAAATTCCAGCAGAGTTTCAGTGCAGAAAATTGGATCCATTTTATGAAGGTGTCAGTGTCTATTTATAGACAACGTAAAGTCACGTTCCAAAAGGCACATATTCGACGACGAAACAACACATTCGTTGGACACGAAAAGACACATTCGTTCGACACGAAAAGACACATTCGTTCAACACGAAAAGACACCCATTCAAGGATGAAACAACATGTCCGTTAGGATGAAACAACATGTCCATTAGGATGAAACAACACATCGTTTAGGATGAAAAGATACATCTGTTTGTCGACGAAAAGGCACACCTTTTCACTACCAAACTTCTTATTCATAACCAATATATTGTCTACACAATTTATATAAATATATATATATATATATATATATATATATATATATATATATATATATAAATTCCAACAATCCCCCACATGGATAAGAAGTCAAATCATCGTGACAAAAAATGCATAAGAGTATAAATGCAGAGTGTAATTTCCTCAACGAGAAACAACTGCATCGAGATAGGTGGAGTTACCTTTGAACCTTCTCTAGTGAAAACCTATCGGATATACTCGGTCAATCGGTGGTCTAGGTCAACTTGAACCGTCAACCTTTAGTGTATACCTAGACAATAGGAGTCACACAATTGCTTCTCTAGCATTGTTGGTCCTTTGTTGCGCCCATTTTGGCCGTGGGACACCTGCCCGGTTCTGCGAGTGTTTTAGAGAATCGGCCTTTGTAAAATTCTCATAGAAGCGGCCCTCACTTCACACTCACATAGGTGATTTCTTGTGATGTAACTCACTATACATCATCTGAACACAACAGATTAAGAAATCATTAAAAGCCTAAGTGCTTACCCTCATAAATACACTGCCTTGTCTTAGGAATGAGTATGAGTTTAAAAACTCCACAGTGTTTGAACAGTCGACCATCACTTAGTTGTCTCTTTGAACCTAGTTCATGGGATCTCCACTCTTCTAGGTAGAGTTACCGCAATGCTCAACAATTGATAGGCCTTAAACCCATTCCTTTCGACAAATTTTCGACCAACTCTCTATGAATCCCTTTGGTTAACGGATCCGCTATGTTCTCCTTAGACTTAACATAGTCAATTGAAATCATTCCATTCGAGAGTAGTTGTCTTATGGTATCATGTCTACGACGTATGTATCTAGACTTACCGTTATACATGACGTTCTTGGCCCTTCCAATAGCTGTTTGGCTATCACAATGTATGCATACAGATGGTACCAGTCTTGGCCAATTAGGAACATCCTCAATAAAATTACGAAGTCATTCGGCTTCTTCACCGGCTTTATCTGAAGCAATAAATTCTGCTTCCATGGTTAACCTTGCAATGCAGGTCTGCTTGGACGATTTCCAAGACACACAACACCTCCACCAAGGGTGAACACATATCCACTTGTGGATCTAGTGTCGTTAGAGCCGGTGATCCAATTTGCATCACAATACCCTTCTATAACCGCGGGGTATTTCTCGTAGTGCAAAGCATAATTCTGAGTATACTTCAAGTATCCCAAAACTCTTACCATAGCTTTCCAATGATTCTTATTTGGATTACTGGTAAAGCGACTTAACAAACTTACTGCAT